CCCCAGCCAGCAAGGCTGGCTGGGGAATTCTGGGAGTTGAAGTCCACACATCAAAGTTGCCAAGTTTGAGAAACACTGGCCTAAGCCAAAAAGGGCTTATTGGTGATCACCCGCACTTTAAATTGGGTGAACAACCCTGCTGGCAATCAGCATAGCTCCAACAAAGTATGTTTTATTCTACTAAACCTGTTCACATCAATTCATAAGCAGGTAGCTGGGTTCCGTGCCAACGGCTGCTTTTGAGTCATCTCCGAGGGCAGCCCCATGGATAGCAAATTGCAGTACAGGAAGTCCTCGTTTAGCGACTGCCTCATTTAGCGACTGTTTGCAGTTACGGCAATGATAAAAAAGTAACTTTATGACCAGTCCTCCCATTTATAACCTTAGCAGGTCTGTAAAATTAAGGAAAGCTGAAAGGAGATTGTAAGCACAGTTGTGGTTTCACTTAGCGACCGCTTTGCTGAACAACCAAGTCGCCAGTCCCAATTGCAGGCACTAAATGAGGACAACCTGTAGTCTCAATATAAGATGACAAGGGTATGATTTCAGTGCTTCCTGGTGTAGGAAGACTAGTTATATTCACATAAATGGTTTTTACAAAGGCAATTTCTATGACAGTTTTCCCATCCTGGCCCTTTCTAAAAATCCAGTTTATCTGGAGAATATCAGGTTGGAAAAACTTAGGAAACAAAACTGCTAGAGCAAGATTGTATTGCAGGAGGAACAATGGCTTCTCCTTCGTCTGCTGTGCCAGGTGGAAGAAAATAAACCCAACTTTATTGGAAAGTAATTTGAGCTCCTAAAATCTTTAATTTTCCCACAGCGAATCGCTGCCCTGTATATTTGCAAACATGCATTGCCAGAATGACCCTTGTTCTTGTGCTCATTTTCCAGTGCAAAGGAAGAGAAAGATTGCAGTAGTCCAACCGGAAAAGCAGTAAGTAGGCACTTAAAATGTCAATTACAATACAGTTTTATCACATAAATAAAAGTGTTGCTCTGGGATAGAAAGTGCTTGACCAAATTGTAAGTGGTATGCTGGTAGCACCTTAAAAATTTATTTATTTATTTATTTTATTTATTTATTAAATTTCTCCCCCATAAAATATATATAAAATATATATAAAATATATATTTTATATATAATATTTTATATTTTATATAAGCACATAAAATATATGTGCTTATCCATCTATCCATCCAGTGTTTCTCAGCAACCTGAGAAACCTTCAATTGCATGTTTATGGCTGCCATCTTGACTTTTATGACCCCCTCCCTATGTCCCCCCCGTTCAAGTAGAGGTAGTCCTCATTTAGCAACTACAATTGGCACCAGCCATTCGGTTGCTAAGCAAAGCAGTCACTAAGCGAAACTACAACTGGGCTAATGATCTTCCTTCAGCTTGCCTTGGTTTTACAGACCTGCAAAGGTCATAAATGTGAGGACTGGCCATAAAGTGAACTTTTCATCACCTTCGTAACTGCAAACAGTTGCTAAATGATGCAGTTGCTAAATGAGGACTCCCTGTAGTTTGAATGGCATTTTTTGTCCTCTATTAGGTTACCAGCTGGAGTGCCTGTTGAGAAAATTCAGGACCCTCATGGCATTCCCCAGATGGACACAACAGGTGAGTTTTTTGGAAAAGGTGACGCTTTTTCCAATTCAAATCTGAAACAAAATTGCCTTAAAGTACAAAAAAGACAAATCAGCGAACCCCAATTGATCAACAGAAGGAAAGCCTAAAAGAGGACTCATGAAATAGTATAACTTCAGAAATAATAATAGCAATAAAAGAAAAGGGAAAGGGCCTGGAAAATTATGTAATAGAACAATTCCAAAAACTTTGATTATATAGCTTTGAAAGTCTTCCTTGTTATGGTTTCCTTCACCCCCACATCAAGAAGTGTCGGATATTGCCAAAGAAAACCTATCAACAATGGACTGTTGCAAATCAGCGTATCCTTTTAGCCTGCCTCCATGCCTGAAAAAGCCACAGTTCTTGATGTGGCCCCAGAAGGCAGAAGATAAGTTGCACTAAGTGTATTGAAAGTCTCCCAACTCTAACGGTCTGAACAATTTTCCCAAATTGATCTCAAAGGAAGTTTTTTTTTTCTTATGTTCCTTGCAAAGAAAACAAGGCATTATTGAGGAAAGTAGTAGAAATGAAATAGCTCTTCCCAACCACAGTAATTCTGCAGGAAGAAGTGCTCTTTGAAGAGTATAAGCCAGCAGTGTAAGGTGACTGCAAAAATGACTAATGCGATTGTAGACTGTATTAACAGAAGCATTATATCCCCTGCTGCCAATCAATGCTAGGGAAGTGTGTTGAATGGCTGCCAGGATTTGGGCAGTGAGTTCTTTAATAAGCAACTGTCTTATCCTACTACTCTATAGTCCCAACTCTTTTTCCTGGAAGACCTAATAGCATTCTCCAAGAAACACAGCTGCTTGGGGAACATTGTTTAATCTAAAACTAACCTGGGTTATTTTGGATTAAAACTGCCTGTCTCCAATCCCACAGCTGGGTTTGCAGGTTTACATAACCCTTGAATGCCACCCAGGTCACATCCTGTGCTGTGTGAACACAGACATTAAGTGGAATGCCTTCCCACCCTCACTTTTAATATTCAGAAAACTTTTTAAAACATTGCTTTTTCAGTGGGAGCTGAGGCAGGAGGAGGCAGAGATAACCGGGGGAATAATGAGTTTTTGTCTTTTACGATGATATTAGGATTGCTTGATATATGTGATTGTTTTTTAGGATTAATGAACTACAGTGTTTCTATACGTTGCTCATTGTGAGGTGCCTAATTTATTTATTTATTATGATTGTTTTTATGCAGCTTCACTCAATTGGATGTGAGCTGTGTGGCACCAAATTGATGGAAGTGGCATTCATGCACTGTTTTTCAAACTTGGCCCCTTTAAGATGTGTGGACTTCAACTCCCAGAATTCCCCACCCAGAATTCCCTGGGAGTTGAAGTCCACACATCTTAAAGGGGCCAAGTTTGAAAAACACTGCATTAAAGCATTCATAATAAATAAGTATTCTTGAACTGGCACCCCCAAGGCAACATTGTCCAACTCAGTGCTGGATTACAATTCCCATCATGCACATGCGTGCCCGCCCACCCCGCTGCCATGTTGATTGGAAGCGTGAGGAGTAGAACTCCCACAGATGTTGTTGATGTGCCAAGATGGTAGGAAGGAGGAGGGTAAGAGACGAGGTGGCTCAGACGGGATGCTGGAAGAAGATGGGGCTGTCTGCTTCTTCTCTGCAGGAACCATCAACGGGAGATACAACTGCCCTGCGCTCTTCATCAACCATCGCTGTTTCTCGGGCCCTCATCTTAACAAAGGCAGATTGGCAGAACTGCCGCAGTCTGTTGGGCCAGGCAAGTGTGTCCTGGTCCTTAAAGAGGTAAGGACTGTGAGATGTGTCCGGTGCCCTGCTAGGAACGGGAGGATCGTAGCAAAGGCTGTCCAGCCCAACCTTCTGCTGAGGATGGAATCCAAATGAAATCATCTCTAACAGATGGCTATCTAGTCTCCTCTTGAACATCTGCACTGAAGGGGAGCTCACCATCATTTGGGGTCCTAGATCCCATTATTGAATGAAGTCATAATGTTTTCCAAGCATTCAGCTATAACTGAAAACCATAATTCCACACCCTGCTCTCTAGAACCATCATAAGCCAATCGGGACCTTCTTGGGTCTAACATTTCAGTATTTGAAGTCTGCTGCCCTATTCCTCCTCAGCTGCCTTCTCTCAAGACTAAGTGCACCCAACCTCTTCTCTATCGGTCCAATATACGTTAGTATCTATTTGTTGAAGCATTCTGTGTGTGCACATGAATGTTCCTAAGAGTGGGAATGTGACTTGAGTGAGGATTTGTGAAACTGGTTTGATAACTAACAGAAAGGGAATTTATTTACGGGATGTTATAGGGACAGACAAAGCCTAGCATAGTGTTTTTCAAACTTGGTGACTTAAAGATGTGTGGACTTTAACTCCCAGAATTCCCCAGCCACACCCACACTGGCAGGGCAAGCTGTTGTGTATACTGTAAACAGGGAGCAAACCCCACACTCACTCACACAGATGATGTTACCTAGTTGGGTCATGAAAGGTCTGCAAGCCAGCAACCCAGCTCAGAGAGCACCAAGGACTCCACAGGTCACCCCTGAGCTATGGAGATTCTCTTCTATTGGGATCAACCTTGAAAGCCTGACAGTGTTTCCCCTACCAGAGAGAGTCAAGGCAGGGCAATCTTGAGTTTCTTTCTCACACTTTCCTGCTTTCCTGGGCTAAGCTCAGTCATTGCGTATTTTCCCCAAATCCCATTTTCTCCTTGTGGGCCAGCCTGCCTGCCTGCCTGCCTTCCTCCCTCCCTCCTTCCCCCCCCCCCCCCCCCCCCCCTCCCCTTCCCCTCCTTCTCCTCTTTCTTTCCTTCCCTCCCTCCCTTCACATTTCTACCCTGCCACAATCAAAATGACTCTCAGCGACTCACATAGTACATGAGGTTCAGCTCCATTGGATTTATCCCCTAGTGTTGTTCTCCCGATTATTTTCATTGCCCTTCTTTGAACCTGCTCCCGTTTATCGTTCTTAAAGTGTGATGTTGAGATCAGCGCACTGTTCTTGAGATGAAGTCTGACCCAAACAAAATACACTAGAATAAATACACCCTGTGCTTTGGAAAGTATACTTATATCAATTTATATAGATGTAGCTTAAAATTGCATGTCTTTTTTTTTTTGCACCCACATCATGCTGCTGGCATGCGATTTGCAATCCGCTACTCATCCTACTGAGTCAGGTAAATCAGGAAGCAAATAATTTTTTGTAATGATCATAATGAGAGGAGGTGGTAAGAGTGATCAAGTTCTTTTGGTAGAATTTCTTACCTTACCAATTATGAGTTCAAGACACGTTATGTATTCAACTATAAAAAAAAAAAAACTTTTGCAGAAATAATGTTCATGTGTGCGCTTAACATGTCCAGTTTTGTTTGAAAGGTATCTTTATGCATTCTTATTGCAATCGAAAGCACATGACATGGTCACAAGCAGTGACCCCATTTGCTGCCTCAAAGCTTCTTGCAATCACACCACCCTAAAATGGGTAGCGGAAGTGGCTGATTTTCAGTGGCGCTCTCTGCACTTCATTTTCCAGCTTTGAGGAACAGAACACGCGCTCCAGGGCTTGGAGACAGAGTACTGATTCCCACCCTTTAAAAGTAAAACAAATCCCCAATCAAATGAAAAATTGGATTTTTTTTCAGCCCGCCCCTTACCATAATGGTACTACATTATAAGAAATCCTTCTA